TCCCAAAAGTCTGCCTCAGATCCATCCCTGGGCCTCAGGCAGTGGAATAGAACCAACTGCTGCAAGATACGCTTGCTCCGTTTCCTATACACACAATACACAAACACAATTCAAAACAAAACCATGTGTCATGCACTTGACCTGGTGGAGCCAGCCTTCATGTACCTGTAAGGAATATGTCAGGTTAGTTTCTCTAGCCAGGGTGATAATGTTCCTTTTAAGTGAGCTCTAACTACAAGAATAGCCAAGCTGGAACTCATTCTGGTGAAGGTTTCCCAAGTCACAGCAAACCCAGGGCTAGGGGCAAGAGCCCCCTCTCCCTGCCTCCTCACAGGGAACCTCAGGATTGAAACCACAGCTTGGGCTCTGGCCTGTTACCTGTCAATCAAAGGTTAGTTCAGCCTGAGTGTCCCATGCCTCTACAGACCTGAGCTCTCCATCACCCCTTTGCATGGGAAATGCCTGAAGAAGAAGAAAAAAAAAAGGCCGGAAGGAGCAAGGTTCCAAGAGAATCTGCCTCTTTACAGAGGTCGTGGGTATGTGTGGGGGGTGGGGTAGGGGGGAGGAGTGTCCTTACAGAGACTGTGGATATGTGGGGGAGGGTGCCTCCTTACAGAGTTGGTGGGTATGTGGTGGTGATGAGGAGGTGGATGTATGGGGTGTGATAAGCACCATGACCAATGAAGCTTACTCACTGGCTATTCTTGCAGAAGGCTCTGGCTTGATTCCCAGCACCCACATGGTGGCTGACAACTGTCTGTAACTTCAGTTCCAAAGGATCTGATGCCTTCTTCTGGCCTCTGAGGGCACTGCATATATGTGACACATATAAGCAGAACACACACACACACACACACACATACACACACATATATGGTGTTTGTTTGTTTGTTTGTTTGTTTGTTTGAGACAGGGCCTCACCATGTAGTCCTGGCTGTCCTAGAACTCTGTAGACCAATGGCCTCAAACAATGGCATTAAAAGCGTGCACCACCACTGCCTGGTATTTTTTTTTAAACAGTAATAATAAAGAAGAACCTAAAAAATAAACCAGGGGGCAGGAGGTGGTAATGTACAATCTTAATCCCAGCACTTGGGAGGCAGAGGCAGGTAGATCTCTTGAGTTTGAAGCCAGCCTGGTCTACTGTCCAGTTCTGGAACATCCAGGGCTACACAGAGAAACCCTGTCTCGAAAACAGACAAACCCAAGTGGAAAAGTTTAACATCGTAAAAGGTGTAGAAACAACCACTGAGGCATGTTCTTCAACTTGTCTAGTCTTGTTAGCAAAAGCAAATACAATTTTTCTGTCTCTCAGTGTGTTTTAAATGTGTCAAAGTTGTAAAGCTGTAGAAGGTTCAGTGCAGTGCGGCTGGTTCCACTCTAATCAGATGAACTGAGGGAGAGGCTGGACTCAGTCCTTCCTCCTCTCAGGCGCTGTCTCGAGGAAACAATCACGGGTGTGTTGAAGGTTGTCCACAACAGTGAAAACATGGAAACCCCCTGACTGTCTTTTGGTAGGAATGTGAGGATTTCCTTTGTGCTTTAAAAAAGGGAAGTTAATGAGATCTCTTACAATGCCAGTCTGGGACTTAGGTGGGGCACCTTCCCTTGAAGTCCCTGGGGACTGCACTTTGCTTAATCTCAGTGGGAAAGACACTGGAGACTGAGGCAGACTCTGGGTCTCTAAGTCTGGGGCCTCAGGTTAACAAAATAGATGAGTGGCTGGCAAGACGGCTCAGCTGATAAAGGCACTGTTGTAGGTTCTTCTCTATTATTGCTACTTAAAAAAAAAGCCAGGCAGTGGTGGTGCACGCTTTTAATGCCAGCACTGGGGAGGCAGAGGCAGGTGGATCTCTGAGTTCGAGGCCAGCCTGGTCTACAGAGTGAGTTCCAGGACAGCCAGGGCTACACAGAGAAACCCTGACTCCAAAAAACACACACACACACACACTCACGTTTACTTTATGTGTATGGGACCTATATTATGTCTGTGTGTCTGTGTACCACATGCATGCTTGGTTCCCACTAGGCCAGACGAGGTCACTGGATACCCTAGAATTGGAGTTACAGATGGTTGTAAGTTACCATGTGGGTGCTGGGAATCAAACCAAGGACTTCTGTAGGAACAGCCACTGCTATTAACTCTGAGCTATCTCTGCAGCTCCAAGTAGTAATTTTTTTTTTTTTTCTGAGACGGGGTCTCACTATGTAGTTCTGGCTGTCCTGAAGCTTACTATGTAGACCAGGCTGGCCTCAGACTTACAGAGATCCACCATTCTCTGCCTCCCAAGTGCTGGGATTAAAAGTATGCCCTGACATATCGCTGCTATCTTAGTTTGCTTTCTATTGCTGTGATAAAGACCATGACCAAAAGCAGCTTGGGGAGGAGAGGGTCTACTTGGTTCACAGGTTACACTCCATCATCAAGACAAGAACTGAAGCAGAGACCATGGAGAAACACTGGTTATGGGCACCACCTACAGAGGGCAGCCCTCCTACACCCCTCATCAATAAAATGCCCCACAGACTAATCTAACAGAGACAGAGACATTTTCTCAACTGAAGTTCCATCTTCCTAGATGATCCTGGCTTGTATCTAGCTGACAAAAAGAAAAAAACAAAACAACAACAACAAAAAACAAGAACAGCAGCTCTGAGAGCAGCCAGGGCTACCCAGTAAGATGCTGTCTCAAAACAAACAAACAAACAAACAAACAAAAAAACAACAATGAAAACAAGCTGGGTGGTAGAGGCACAAGCCTTTAATGCTAGCACTCAAGGGCAGGTGGATCTGAGTTCAAGGCCACCCTGGTCTTCTGTGCTAGTTTCAAGACACCAGGAGGGGAAGGGGGACAGGTGTGACTCTTGTGGCTGACAGTGTGAGTGAGGTGTGGATTAACACAGTTCTGACAGCACTGCCTTTCATCAACACAGACACTGTGCTAAGCAGGTTAGTACCTCCATTTACCATTTGGACGAACGGAATCTTAGACATGCTGTTGATGGGGTTACAGAGATGGCTCAGTAGTGCACAGCACTGGGTGCCGTTCAGTTCTCTACACCCAGGTCTGCAGGGCAAAAGAATCCATAAGCCCAGTTACAGTGGATCCACCACCCTCTTCCAGATTCCTGACTCATGAATAGGAAAATATTTTTTAACACAGGGTCTGGGGTCTGGAGAGATGGCTTAGCGGTTAAGAGCACTGCCTATTCTTCCAGAGATCCTGGATTCAATTCCCAGCAACCGCATGGTGGCTCACAACCATCTGTAAGGGGATCTGATGCCCTCTTCTGGTGTGTCTGAAGACAGCTACAGTGTACTCATATAAATAAAAGAAAATAATATTGACTTCCCTGGAACTAGACATATTTATATTCACTATGCTGGTCTTGATGTCACAGAAAATCTCCTGTCTCTGCCTCTCAAACGCTGGGATCAAAGGTACACACCACAAGCAGATACAGAAGGCAGAGCTAAGTTCCCCCTCTCAGGGGTGGCAGAGGCTCAGGTCTCTGACAGGCTTCCTCTTTTGGAAGCAGAACTTGCTGAGCCCAGGAAGGGTGTATTCAAGGACCCTGCTGCTCGGTTAGCAGCTGAGTCCTGGAAACAGTGGTATACAGTTGGGCAGCCCCTGGTTCAGCATCTGCTGGTGAAGGTGGCATTAAACAATCAGGCCAAAAGGGGATGAGGAGGACAAGATAGCTCACTGGGTAAAAGACTCTGACAACAAGCCTTCAAAAAAAAAAAAAGTAGCTAGATCCCTCCAAATGTCTTTGAGTTCAAGACCAGCCTCAGTTGCATAGTAAGTTTTAGGTCAGTCAGGGTTATAAATAGGTGTTCCTATCTAAATAATTTTTTTTTTTTTGGTTTTTTGAGACAAGATTTCTCTTTATAGCCCAGGCTGTCCTGGAACTCACTCTGTAGACCAGGCTGGCCTCGAACTCAAAAATCTTTTTAAGTATTTTTTTTTCTAAATAAAAATTTTAAAACTGCTAGTTGAAATTAACAACAAGACAAAGCAGGGCCAGCAAGGTGGCTCAGTGGGTAGAGGGGCTTGCTCAGGAAGCCTGAAGTGCCGAGCTCAGTCCCCAGACCGCATGTAACAATGGAGAACCAACTCCACAGAGCTATCCTCTGCCCTCTACATGTATTGGTATCCACCCACAATAACAAATAATTTTTATTATTTTGTCTACTTATTTTGGTTTTTGTAAGACAGGGTTTCTCTGTGTAGCCCTGGGTATCCTGAAACTCACTCTAAACCAGGCTGGTCTTGAACTTGGAGGTCCATCTGTCTCTGCCTTCTGAGGGCTGGGGTTGAAGGCATGTGCTTCCTTGCCCCTCTGTTTTTGTTTTAGTTTCTTTTTTTAAAAAAAAAATTTTTTTTAAACTGGGGCATTGATGGTGCATGCCTTTAACCCCAGCACCTGGGAGGCAGAGGCAGGCAGATCTCTGTGAGGTTGAGGCCAGCCTGGTCTATAGAGTGAGTTCCAGGCCAGCCAGAGCTGTTACACATGGAAACTCTATCTCAGAAAAACCAAACCATACTAAACCAAAGCAAACCAACCAACCAACCAACCAAAACCAACAACAATAACCACCTCAGCAAACCTCAGCAGGACAGAAAAAAAAAGTAAATAAAACAAAATGAAGATCTCGGAAATGAATTCTGGGACAAGGTCCAGATCCTATTCTAGGGCTCCAATGCCCTAGGCCAGAGCAATAAATGAAAGTCCATCTCCTGAAATCTAGGGGCTCTTCCCTGGAATGTTGTTTGCTATTTGGGGACTGGCTCAACAACCATTGGTGTGATAAGGGGTGGATAGGACCTTGTGAGGGACAGTCAGGTTGGTGCTTTGACCTGGCAAGGTGACAAGTGAGTCCCAAAGGATCCCTTAGTCAAGGTAGTTTGGCAGCAGAGCCCACAGAGGACAGCCAGAGAGAGCAGGTGCCTTTGAGACGCTGCTGCCACTGCCAAGCAAGCTGGATCTTTTCTGCTGCTGTCCCTGGGGAGGGAAGCCAGTGGTTAGTAGACAGGACTTCTGCCTATCCCTTTATATGGCCACACAGTAACCAAGCAATTACAAAAGACTGTTAAGCTGTCCAGCAGATGGAAGAAGACGAAGCTGAGGCAGCTTCTCACCTTAACCGGCACCCTCTAAAAGTGAAATTGGAAGCGTGAGAGAGGCTCAGCTAACCAAAGTTCTCCAAGAGCAGGGTTTAGGGCCCAAGCAGGTCAGCAAGTGATCCAGGTTGGTGTTCCTGTAAGGAGAAAGTCGGGATGAGTGAGGCCAGAGCCTGCAGGGCAGCCTGTCTGGCCAAGTAGCACTACGGATACTCTGGCAGAGGGTTGGAGGCAGGCATCTTGCAGGCCTGTGATGCAAGACCAGGAAACAAAGGGATTGGGACATCAGTGGCCTCCGAGCTCACTAAAGCTACTTGGTAAGAGCTAAGAGCAGAAGGCAGGGGGCAGAGTGCCCGCCGAGAGTGCAAACTAAAGTAAACACCACGTGTTCGTGTGGCGTGCATGAGAAACTGCGTGGTTGTGTGAGCTGTATTCACTGTGCTGTGTGCGCCTGTTCGCAGTGTTTGTGTATGTATTCTGTTGTGTGGCCTCACCGAGGGTGTGCAGACGCTGCGTATTTACTACGTGCTCACAGCGGGACTCTGGAGGCGGAGGAAGAGGCAGGGGGTTCTCAGCGCTCCCTGAGTAAACAGGGTAGTACAAAGCTAGACAGGCAGGTTCTGTACAGTCGTCTGGGACCCAGCAACTCTGCCTGTAAGCAGACAAAGACGTTTGCGCCTGCGCTCTGTCCTCCCAGGCCCGCCCCAGCCCCGCACTCCTCTCCTCCATAACCATTTGTTGCCCACTTCCCTTTTCTCGCGCTTGCCTCTACCGCCCAGTCTGCGTAGTGTGTGTAAGCAGGAGCTTGGATTCTCGCCCTTGCTCAGGCTCATCTTGCTTAGTCCAGTGTTTTATCTATGTTGTAACATTTGATAAGAGCATCCCTTAAAAAATATAGTGGCAGACCTGATGTGGGCACAGGCCAGAAATCCCAGCACTTGGGAGGTGGAGACAGGCAAATCTAGAGTTTAAATTCCTGCTCCAGAAGTTGAGGGCCAGCCCTGGCTACCATGAGACCCTGTCTCAAAAGGCAAACAAAAAAGTATAAGGAAGGCTGAGGGCTAAGAGAAGAGCCCTCCCTAGGTTTAATTCCCGGTATGGAAAAGAAATAAGTGAATAAATAAATAATGTAAAAATAAAAGATGAAGATAAAATTCTTCCCTTAGGTCTACCAAGGTGGCTCGGTGGGTAAAGGCTCTTGAAGAACTACAAGCTAGAGAACCTGAGTTCGATCCCAGGAGCTCATGTAAAGGGAAAAGGTGAGAAGCTGTCCTCTTTCACATTCCTGCGGTGGCACGCCTCATCCGCATGCAATCATGATAATAGTAAAAAATAAAATTATTTTAAAAATATTTTACATGGTATCTCCCCAAACGTATTTTAACATGTAATTTAAATGTAAAAACAACACGGCACGTGTTCTTTATTTTTTGTACTTGGTTCAGTAAAACCAGACTGGCCACATTTCAGGTGCTCAGTGGTCACATGTGGGAACTGGACTGATCAGGGCTGGAGCCTAGAATGTGGACACTGGACAGATCTGGAATGCTAACTCACATATATCTGTCAATCCCTTACTAGGCTGCGTGACCCTGCAAGGTGCACCCTCTTCTTCCTTTCTTTCTCTCTTTACTTATGTTTTATATCTAAAGACTAGCACGGTCTCAATTCACTGGGTGAACAGTCTCAAATAATCCAATCAAAATAGGTGGCTTATTCAAGCTCAATGAAGCCTCTGTCCCTCCAGGACAGATGGAAACCCGGCCAACACATGCTCAGCCTGAGGGTTTGAGTAGCGGTGGCAGGAGCTAGAACCCTGATGGAGTTTCTTTGGATGGAGACTCCAGTACAGTCCACAGTAACCCATCCTGCCGTCTTAAGTCCAGGGATGGAAAAGGCGCCGCCCCTATTTCTTTGCCCCTCTCTTTTTGTATGGTACTAGAAACTGAAGCCAGGGCTTTGGACATGATAGGCAAGCACTCTACACTTCCCTGTCCGCCCACGTATTTCTTGTCATTTTGTTGTTTGTTTGCTTTTGAGACAAGGTCTCAAGTATTCCAGGCTAGTTTCAAACCCACCACTTAGCTGAGGATGACTGTGAACTCTTGGTCCTCCTGTTTCCACTTCCAAAATACTGAGACTACAAGTGTGCACTACTATGCCAGGCTTATGCCGTGAACTCGGCCAATGCTCTGCCGATGATGTTGCATCCCCAGCTGTTTCCACGTTTTGATCAACAAAATGGAAATAATAGTACTCACTCTATAGGGCAATTCTGAGGGTGACTCTTCATGATTATCCGCAGTAAACTCTTACAAGGTGGATTAATAAGATTTTGCCATTAGGTTAGAGCTATCTCAGCTCACTCCCACCACGTGAGGCATCTTGGAAACATCCTAGACAAGTTAGCAGACAGTGTTCAAACCAAGGAGACCGCTTGCAACAGAGCCAAGGAACACAATGCTGCCGTTCTTTCTTGTAGGTAGGGAACAGATAGATAATGTAGTCGGAGTAGGAATTCAAACCAAGTGTCCAGCATGAGACTGGTTTTGTTTTCAAAAGCAGGACTTGCCTGGGGATGTAGCTCAGTTGGTTGAATGCCCCAGCTCCCAATTATCTGCCTGAATACCTAAAATCCCAGCACTTGGGAGATGTAGTCAGATGGATCTGGGGTTCAAGATCAAGTTACCCTCAGTTGCATAGCAAGGTAGAGGCCAGTCTGGGCTACATAAGACCCTGTTCAAAAAAAAAAGTAAAAAAGCAAGAAAGTAAAAGGCCTACTCCTTGGGAAGCTGGGGCAATGGGGTCAACAGTTCAAAGCCAGTTGGGAGGTGGTGCACACCTTTCATCTTAGTATTCAGGAGGCAGAGGCAGGTGGATCTCTGAGTTCGAGGTCAGCTTGCTGTACACAGTTAGTTCCAGAACAGCCAGGGCTACATAGAAAAACCATGTCTTGAAAAAACAAACAAACAAAAAAACCCCAACCCTTAGGCCGGGTGGTGGTGGCTGGGTTTCTCTGTATAGTCCTAGCTGTCCTGGAACTCGCTCTGTAGACCAGGCTGGCCTCGAACTCAGAAATCTGCCTGCCTCTGCCTCCCAAGTGCTGGGATTAAAGGCGTGTGCAACCACTGCCCATCAGGGCACACATTTCTTTAGCAGTACCGATGACTAAACCCGGGCCATGCACATGGTGGAAAGCTGGGAGAACAGTTGTAACTCCAGCTCTTTGCTTTTGCATGTTGAGACTGAATCTTATTAAGTTGCCCAGGCAGGCCTGGAACTTCTAACTCTTCCTGCCTCAACCCCCAAGCACGTCAAATTACTAACCTGTGACATTCCAGGTCTGGCAAGACAAAGACATACAAGTCTTTCTTTCTTTTCTATTTTAAGACTTGTCTTTATTTAGTTCCATGTGTGTCTAGGCACATGCACACAGGTCTAGGTGCGGACATTGTTCACAGGGATTGGATCCCTGGTGCTGAGGTTATAGGCAGTTGTGACATGGCAGTAGGTAACTTAACTCAGGTTCTCTGGAAAAACCATGAAGTGCTCTTAATCCTGGAGTCATTGCCCCCTTTTTGTTCTTTTGAGGGACAGTCCCAAGGAGCCTACACCGGCTTCCAACAAGCTGAGGATGTCCTGACCTCCTGATCTTTCTTGCATTCACCTATCTGACTAGAAAGCCAACTATGCTAGAGATGTAAATACACCTCTCTTGTTAGGCCAAAATGGCTGTAAGGCCAGCTCACTGAGACAAAGAGGCTTGACACCACAGACCCCTGTCACAGATTGCCACTGGCACACTGCTGAGGTATGTAACCTGGAGACAGTGGTGCCATGACAGGTCCTGCACCAGGAGCTGAGGAGTGGACAGTGGGCCTGCTGTCACAACTTGACTAGAGCTAGTGACTTTGGCCTCAGGCTTTGGGCCTCTAGAGCAGGATGCATAGCTGTTGTTTAAGCTGTGGTCTGTGGAAATGAATTCAACACAATTCAATTTTCCACCTTAATTCAAGTTCTCTGGAACTTGATAGAACCAATATTGTTTTGGAGGATTATGCTTGTGATCCCACCATCCTTTGAAGTCAGGGTCTAGACTGCTATGACCTTGTCTCAAAAGAACAACACAGAGCCAGTGAGATGGCTCAGCAGATAAAAGCAGCTTCATTTGCATGAGGACTGGAGTTTGATCTGAGATGCGGTGGTGAAAGGAGAGCCAATTCAAAACTGTCCTCTGACTCCATCTACATGTGACTGCCACACAAGGACATGACAGCTCACAGATAATAAAACTTAAAAGGAAATCTATCTACATTAAGATAAAGACTATAATAAAGATGGCATGTCAAATTGACAAGGTGGGGTTTTTGGTTTTTTTTGTTTGTTTGTTTGTTTTGTTTTGTTTTGAGACATAGTATCTCTTCATAGCCCTGGTTGTCCTGGGATTCACTGTGTTACCAGGCTGGCTTTGAACTCACAGAGATCCACCTCCCTCTATCTTCCAAGGGGCCAGTAGGGCCAATGAGATGCTCAGTAGGTAGAAGTGCTTGCCATGTAAGCCTGACTGTTAAGACTTCGGCGCGCAGCTTAGAACAGACAACACCAGACCAAACGGTTCCAAAGGGGAGGGGGTTTATTCAGGGCAGAGGGCAAAGGTGGGGAGAGAAATGGGAGAAGATGGCAGAGAAAGAGGAGAGAGAGAGGAGAGAAGTGGAGGCCAGCCATGACCACGTGGAGAGAGGGGGAAGGGAAGTGGGGAGAGGCGAAGGGACAGAGAGAAGCTAGAGGCAAGAGAGAAAGAGAACAAGAGAGAGAGGAGGGGGCAAGCAGCCCTTTTTATAGTGGGCAGGCCTACCTGGCTGTTGCCAGGTAACTATGGGAGGAGCATACCTGGGTGTTGCCAGATAACTGTGGAGGTGGAGTTTAGACAGAATACTAACACTGACAACTTGAGTCTGATCCTGGAGATCCCACCATAGAAGAAAACCAACTCCTGAGGGTTGTCCTTTGATGTCGGCACACATGCCATGGCAGAAGCACACCTGTTCACATATACCATCCCACCCCAAACTCACAAAATAATAAATAAAATAAAAAATTTTAAGTTGTAAGGCATTGTGGCTCAAGAATATTACCCTAGCACTTAGGAGTCCAGGGTAGAGGACTCCTACTCTGTAAATCCAGGAAAACAAGGGAGAGTTAGTCTCTAACACACAGACACACACACTGACAGAGAGACACAGATATATAAATACAATCACAGATACACAGGCACAAACACACTGACACACAAACACACAGACGCACACAGAAACACACACTGATACACCACACATACACATGCGCACACACAGACACACACAGATATACACCACAGACACACACAGACACACACACAGACACACACACAGACACACACACAGACACACACACACACACACACACACACACACACACACACACACACACACACTGGTGGCCTGGAAGTGCATACCTGCAATCTCATCACAGGCAGAGGAAGTAAGACAGTCAAGAGTTCAAGGTTGCTAGGCAGTGGTGGCGCACGCCTTTAATCCCAGCACTTGGGGGGCAGAGGCAGGCGGATTTCTGAGTTCGAGGCCAGCCTGGTCTACAGAGTGAGTTCCAGGACAGCCAGGGCTACATAGAGAAACCTTGTCTCCAAAAACAAACAAACAAACAAAAACAAACAAACAAAAAGAGTTCATGATCTAACTGGTCTCCAAAGTCAGGTCAGCCAAAGTTATAGGAGGAGATTTTTTCTTTTTAAAGTCAGAGACAGCTGTTGGTAAAGTGCCTGCTGAGGCCCCAGCTGTGATCTGAGAGGAGCATGTGAACACAGTGGGGTGGGGTGGGGTGTCTGGAATCTATAGGCCAGTGGTGGTGAGGAAAAGACAAGCAGATTCTGCAGTTTGTTGGATAGCTAAGTCAGTATCATGCTCTGCTGAGAGCCCTGTACAGAAGTGTCATGCTCAGATCAAGGTCAGCATACCTATCTCCCCAATCATCCTTTTCTGTTGAGACATTAGACTCCTTTCTTCTAAGCTGAGGACACTGCTTGGCTGATAGAACTCTTGTCTCTAATACTGGAAGCTGGAATTCTACCCTATCAACACATAAACCAGGGTGGCCCAAACCTATTCTAACACCTGGGTGATAAAGGAAGAAGGTTTGGAAGTTCAAGGTCAGCCTAGGCTACAAAAGATTCTTTCTTAAAACAAACAAATAAACAAACAAAAACCAGACAAACAAAACACCTGGGCTGGCTTGATCTCTAACAGCTTCCTTTCAGTCCAGCACTAGGGAGGCAGAGGCAAAGCTAGCCTTTGAGTCCCAGGCTAGCCTGTATGTACTACACAGTCAATCCTAGGACAGCCAGCATTACATAATGAGACCCTGTCTCAAAGACCAACAACAACACTGCACTTTGCACAACGGTTTTAACCACAACATTTTGGAGCAGGCAGATCTGTGTGAGCTCCAGGCCAGCTAGCGATACCTAGTGAGACCCTGACTCAAACCAAACAACAACAAAAAAACAAAAACTCTTTCTCAGAGCTATTTTTGAAACACCATCCATTTGTTATCTGTCATTGCATAATATGCAGCGGCACACGGAACTTTTCCCTGTATAACCAATCTCCCTGTATCTCCCAAATGGAAGAACAGGCCAGAGATGCTAATTTGTTTGTTGTTTTTAAGTTTTGAGTCATGTATACAAATTACCAATTCAAAGATGGAAATATATACAAACATTTAAAAGCAAAATTAGTGCAAGCTCCTGTTTTGTTTAGACACACATCTGTGAGGGTGCTCTGTGAAGATCCATAGCGGTCTTCTATGTAGCCAGTGGTGGGTGGCCTCTAAACTCTTGTTGCTTTTTGCCCGGCCATTTCAGGACAGTCCATACTTGAAGGGCCACAAGCAACTGCTTTTCTCCCGACTTGGGAAACTCCAGAGGCAGAGGCGCTGGCTGCCTTTCTGAGGTCGACTGGCTACCAGTCCGCTGTTTGTCCTTGACTTTCCTTTTCGTCCCTTATCCAAAAACCCTGGAAAGCTCTCCAGTTTTGTTGACTGTGTTTTCCTCTCTACTCTGCTTGTATCATCCTCCTGCAAGGCAGCGTTCAGCCCCCCTGCCAGCTGGTCATCCATCTCTGCAGAAAACAAAGCTACACAAAAGCCTCCAATATTTTCATCAAGTCTACAAACCTCAGATTTGTCCGACTCCTGCCTTGGAGTAGCGTGTCCCCTGTGTGCAATTAAGCATGGTACATCGGTTTTAAGACAGAGTTCCTTGGTTTCGTTTTGTCGACCCAATCAACTGGGAATGCCCGTTCTCATAAAATATCTGGCCCTGTGGAGAGTCTCATGGGGCAGGCCAGTTTGTGAGAGAGTCTGGCTGAGTAGAGAGCCCCAGTAAATTTCCATTTGGTATTTCAGAGACTGAAGCTACATGGAATATGTATCTGCAGCTGTTTGAGGCCAGGATTCGGGGACAGAAACATGAGACTAAATTCCTGCCCTGACATCTGTGAGAGTTGTTAGGGGGCCGTCAGTTGGCTATCACTGTCTGGAATACTTTGCTTTAAAAAAATAAATCCATTTTCAGTATACCAATCACATCACCAAGTAGTAGATATTTTCATGGTTAGCCATTTTATGGTCACCACACTGTGTGTGACAACATAATTTATGAACATTGCTTTCTCCCTTCCACTTATTTCTTTCTAAGACAGGGTGTCACTATGTAATTCCTCCTGGCACTCACTATGTAGACAGGGCTGGCCTAGAACTCACAAAATCTGCCTGCCTCTGCCTCTTGTTATGTCTCTTTCTTAAGTATTTTTGGGGAAAGAGCTTTTATACTGCAAAAATCACAGATAGCTGAAGTATAAACTCTAACACACACAACCTCAATAACTCATTAACCTGACACCCATAGCATACAGCTTTTAGCTTTCTTTAGCTACAATTCCTCAGCTAATGCATGTGATCTGAGACCTCTGCCAGGTGTGCTCCATGTGGTCTGAAAGCAAGTTGCTTTCACAGATGCTAAGTGTAGCCAGACCTCAGACACTAGAAAATCCATTTCTCTCCAGAGAGGATGTATTCCAGCGTTTCCTTCCCTTGAGTGCCTTTAAACTGCTGAGGACAAAGAGCAGAAGACCCTGGAAGCTGGTCACTTACCAGCACACTTGCAGGACCTCGAAAAGCCTGTCAGAACCAGCAAGAAGCTTCCAAGGAAGTAACTAGCACTCACCCACCCAAATTCACTCACAGAAGGAAAGAGCCTGGTGTTACTCAGGTTTCCTGTCAGAACATCCTGTCTTGAGACACTGAAAGATTGGAAAATGCCAGAAGGTGCCGTTTAAGACCCAGAGACTCGACAGGCAGTGGTGGCACACACCTTTAATCCCAGCACTTGGGAGGCAGAGGCAGGCGGATTTCTGAGTTCGAGGCCAGCCTGGTCTACAGAGTGCATTCCAGGACAGCCAGGGCTACACAGAGAAACCCTGTCTTGAAAAACCAAAAAAAAAAAAAAAAAAAAAA